ATTGTTCACATCAACATCAACTTAATTCATAAATAAATTTCATTTTTAAGAAAAAAGAGTAAAGGTATACCCTTTTGGAATTTGAAACACTGTGTTTTTTCTTAGCATTTTCTTTCCTCTTTTCTTCAAGGAAAAAGAAGCTTATGTAATTGAAACGCGATAAAAGAGACTTACAGACAAATGCAGCAAACAAAGGAATCAAAGATTTCTTCTTGTTCATTGTGGACGAAGTTTTGACCTATGAACGCGTTCTCCATTTTCTGAATGTTCGGGAACACACGAGAGACAACGAGGTATCACAGAGGGTTCAGAATTGTGTGATAACGAAACCGTTCAACTATATATATTAAGGAAGGGAATATTCTATATCGTTTTAAATGGATGTAAACTTGTCAGTTGTGTTTTAATGGATGTAAAATTATGTTACATTAATTTATCTTCTTTTGACATAAAATTAATAACACCGCCCATATATTAAAGGGATAAATGTTCATTAATTTGTACGAGATAATTTTATTTTATATATATATAAGTGTATGAGGCTACAAGAAGAAAAGAGAAAAAAAAATATGAGCTTCATATATTTTTATAGGGATAAGTTATTTTACCTATCATTTTTCTACCTACTTTTGCCTACTATCTTAAATCACCGTTAGATCAGAATTTTAATTAACATTTATCTTTCTCTCTCTTCTTGAGATTCTGATCTAACAGTGTTTTAGGATGGTAGACAAAGGTAGGAAGACAAAATGGTAGGTAGAATAATCTATCCCATTTTTATAATATATGTAGGAGATAAAATTTATCTCCTAAAATATGAAGAATATTATTCTTTATATTTAATTATTTACATTAAAAAAAAGAAAAATGTCGAATTAATATTTTTAAGCAATTATTATCCCAAGCTAAAATTGTGGTATTTATATTACAAAAAAAATTGTGGTATTTATTTCTTTATTTTTTATCATAAAATATGCATAATTGAGAAATGATTAACTGGAACATGTATGAAAAGGAATGGTATTACTTAACTAGTAGCTATTATTTAGTATGTTACAATAATTTTTTTGAATTAAAGGAAAATTTTGAAAAATATAAATCAAAACAGAAAAATATTTTAGAACTAAATAATTAATTTTAATAATTTTTAAAACAAAAAAATGATATGTTTCAGTTTCAAAAAAAAATAAACTAAGAGATATAATTATTTTTTAAAACTAAATTTTAAAGAAAAAGTTCAAAAATCATTTGTAATTATTTAATTATTTATTTTATCACTTATCTTATTTATGATCATTTGTAGTCAATAATCGGTTAATGCATTTTTTAGAACTAAATGCATTATGTATTTCAGTAAGAAAAAAAGAAGTAAAAACGTAAATAATTAAGTCAAAATACATAATGCATTTTTATTATGAGTTTTCTTTTTCTACCGTTAATGTAAATATTTTATTTACATTAAACCCAAAACAACGTCGTTTTAAGACAGAAATCAAGGAATTTTTGTAATTATAATTTATTTCAGGGTTATAATTGTCTTGTTCATTATAATTTTTTTATTTTTCAATCCAAAACGATATTCTTTTGAGAGCAAATATAGATAACTTATTTACATTTACTATAAAAACATTAAAGCCTTTTTTACTATTTGCTAGAAGTGGCACTCAAACATGCTTCTAATGCCAAGGTTTGCCAAGGGGTCCACACAGCGGTTAAGCCTCAAGGTAGATATGTCCCAGAACAACGATCCAATTCAATCCAATCCTTTTGTAATTATAATCACGTATTGTCATACTCAAATATAATCACGTATTAGTTACACAATTATTGTTTCAGCAATTATATAATTAATGAGGACAAGTTATACTTATCAATTTATTTTTTTTACCACCTCTTACATTTAATGTTATTATCGCTGAATTAAAATCAAATCAATAGTTCTCACTTGATATCATTTTATAGCCGTTGATTTAATTTTAATCTAACAATAATATTTTAAGATACCGATTTTATAATATATCCTTTTAGGGCCTGTTTGGTGTGATGTATAAGGCCTGATAGTATAAGCTTATACTATATGTTATGACATTTTCAGTTGTTTGGTGTGACCATCGTATAGTATAAGCTTATACAGCAGGACCCCTTTATACATCAAAATGATGTATAACTTAATCCGGCCTAGGAGTAGTGGATTAGGCCTGATAAGGGGTTGATGTATTAATATTAATTACAAGTACAATTCTCAAGAACTAATAGCTTGAAAAACGAAAATATAGGATTCATATATTGAAAGTTTCGTAACAATGGCCGAAACCCATTGATATTGAGGTTTCTGGCCGACAAATACCCAAGTATCCTCCTCCCTACTCGGGTAAATAACTGCGCGTACCCGGGTATCCCCTTTCTTACCCGGGTAAATATTCAACATGTGTAAAAACAAATTTATTTCGCGAAATATACTCGGGTATCTTAATGGTCAACGGTCAAACATGGACAGATTGATGTTATGTTTGTTGAAAAGGTTAAATTTTTGCAATAGTTTATAAGTAAGGTCAATTTGGTAATTAATTATTAAATAAGGGCTACATTGGTTAAAAAGCCTAAGGGCATGTTTGGTGCATAGTATAGGATAAGGCCTGATAGTATAAGACCTGTTGGTATAAGACCTGATTGTATAAGACTTGATTAAATTTTAATACTATCCAGTGTTTGGTATGATATTGTATAAGAGAATATCCTCCAATATTTTAAAAATTAATATATTAAAAAAATCTATTTTAATATATAAATATTGAAATGATATATATTTTTTTTGAAAATATTCCATCGGTTCATCGATTCGCGACTAGTCCGATTCGGGACGGGTCCAGGACTAAGGCTTTAAACCCCTCCCAAGGGTGGTACTAGGGAGGTTCGAACACATGCTATTAGTTACGAAATATAGGGTTCATATTACGAAAGTTTCAATCTTACTTTAAATTGATATTGTTTCATTGATGTAAAACGAAAATTGGTTGTTATTTTTCACTGTTTTATGTTGATTTTAATATAAAAATCACATGTTTTTGTGCCAAGAAAAGTCGCAACCATAGCTTGAAAAATCACTTTTTAAACTTCCAAAATTTCTCAAAAATGGCTCAAAAATATGTTATTTTTGAGATAGATTATATTAAAATCTCATTGGTTTGTTGTTTCTGGATTATTTTGTGGTAAAAATCGCTCAAAAATCTGCTTTTTTTTAGTTTTGACGAAGCTCCCATGACGGAACCCAATTTCAAGCCGTCAACCTGTCAAAGGAAGAAGTGTGAGATTGTGAGAGAGACATCCTATTTATATTCTTTACTAAAAAGTCTCACGAAATCCACACAAATAGAAAATCCATTAAAATACCACGAAATTGTGATTTCATTGTTTAAAATCCTGACTGAATACCAATGAATTTGGACGGATTCTAAAATAATCTTTTAAAATCCTAATCGAATACCACGTGACTTTTTTTCAATCCATTAAAATCCTAATCGAATACCAAGGGATTTTTTTGTCCAAACATAATCCATTAAAATTCTTTGAAATCTCAATCCAATACACCCGCTAAATAGTTTTCTTATATTTAATCAATTTAATTCAAAATTTAAATTAATTCAAAATATTTTAAATTACTTTAGATTGAACTTTTTTATTTCTAGTTTTTTATCAATTTCTCAAAAGACACAAAAGCAATTTCTAAAACTGTTTTTTTAATACATATTGCAGTTTTTAAGTTTTTTATTCTTTCAAATTGAAATTAATTTAATACACAAAAGCCCACTAATTGATCGTTATCAATTAGTTTTCTTATATTTAATCAATTTAAGAGTAAATACCTTTTTGGGTCCCTAACAAAAAATATGGTCTCCACTTTAGTCCTTTACAAAAAAAAAAAATTAGTCAGTGGGTCCCTATGAAATTCAAAGTGGACTTATTTTAGTCCTTTTGAGAGACTAATATGGGTCTTTTTTGAATTTGTGAAGGACCACGATTTCAACTAAATGGGTCCACTTTGAATTTTTTAGGGACCTAGAGACTAATTTTTTTTTTTGTAAGCGACTAATGTGGGTACCGTATTTTTTGTTAGGGGAAAAAATGATATTTACTCTCAATTTAATTCAAAATATAAATGAACTCAAACTAGTTTATATTACTTTAGACTGAACTTTTTTATTTCTGATTTTTTTATCAATTTCTCAAAATACTCAAAAGCCCACACAACTTTCAATTGTGCTCATGGGTGGACCTTGGGGGGCTAGGTTTGGCCCCCACTCATCTCTAAAATTTGAAATATACATATATATATATAATATCATTTTGGTAATATTAGTAGATTGTTTATTTTAAAAATTAATTCCCTCGAATTAAAAAATAAAATCCCCAAAAAGAAAGTTATATCTCCTTATGTAAATGAGCCACAAGTCTATTTTAGCATGCATACCTCTAAGTCTCCAAGCCCAATTCCTATTTTCTAATAAATAATATTTTCCTTTTTTAATAAAATAATATCTTGTTATTTTTTAAAAGAATAATATCTTATAATTTTTTTTCGTAATCTTTCTTCTTTTTACTTGCCAAACACATTTTTTCTTAATCTTCATTCTATTCGCTGCCTTCATTCCACACTTGATAGTAATGTTATGACCCATCTATGAGGCCCATTAATTGCTTAGCTCAATAAGGGACAATTCAAGTATAAATTAGATATACATCAAGATATCAATCCTAATACGACAACATAATATATGAGTTTGGGCCCTTAAGAAAGCAGGGAAGGTCCAGAATCCATTCTATAAATAAGAGGTAAAACCTATATGTACGTGGAGTCAACTGCATCTAACTTAGGAGATACAACAGAACAAGTAAGGTTTTGTGTATTTTCTTAATAACCTTGCAAGGTTGTGGCTTCGAAATATTGAGACCATCGGCGGTTTTGGAGACACGACCAGCACCCTCCAGCGTGAAAAGCAGCCATGAATTCGTTGCCGGCGATTGAGATTGAGGAGAGACACATGGCCATGGAAGCACACTGTGCCGTTTGCAAGGAACCTTTTGAACTTGGAACCGGAGCAAGGGAAATGCCTTGCAAGCACATATACCACCCTGAATGCATCTTACCATGGCTTGCAATTCGGAATTCTTGCCCCGTTTGTCGCCATGAATTACCTTTTTATCAACAGCCGAATAGACGTGGTATTTCAGCAGCAGTAGCAGCAACACTAGCAGCAGCAGCAGCAGCAGCACGGCAAGAGAATGTGGGGTTGAGAAATTGGAGGATACCAGGTGGTGTTTCAGCAGCAGCATCATCATCAGCAGCAGCAGCAGCAGTTCCGGTGGGATGGTTTTCCGGAGGAAGAAGAGGAAGAAGGCGTACTCTGGTGTATTACATAGATTCGGATGGTACATTTGTTGAACAAATTGGAGGTTTCGATGTGATGATATCGCGGAGGAGGAGAAGTCGTGGTGGGTTGCGCAGAATGTTTAGCAGTTTGTTTAGTTGCTTCCAACCACCTCTTCACGCTAATTTATAATAATATTCTGGATCCGTTAGAAGGAGTAATAGTGCATCTCGTTCCAACGCAGGTCCACGTTCTCGAAGGACTTGGTCTATGGATGTGAATAGTGGAATGAGACAACGGTAACTACTCAACCTGGGAAAGGATATATATTTTGGGAGGCAGGATCCTTTGATACCGGTGTCAAATTTGAAGTTTGATACCTCATTTGAGAGCTGTTAGATCAAAAAAGATCCACGACTCTGATTTGCAAGCATGTGACACAATTGATCTTTTTTGATCTAACGGCTCTCAGATAAGGTGTCAAACTTTAAATTTGACACCGGTGTCAAAGGATCCTACCTCATATTTTGGATATGGATCCTCTGTGAAAATTCACATGATCATGTCATGTGAGAAATCATAACCATACAAAAGTGGATCAATGGTACTAAAGGAGGAGAGAGAAAAAATCATAAAATAGGTAATTACAAGATCATAACCGTTGATTTACCTTTGTATGGTTGTGATCTTCTCATATGATTATATCATGTTTTTTTTCCACGTGAGAGGATCCATTTCCATATATTTTATATAATAATGTCAAAAACATCGGTATATTCATGCTAGTTTCATAATATGATCTATAACACCTTCGTATAATGTTTATTTTTTATTTTTTTGTATAAGACACCTTCGTATAATGTTGATGGTTAGTTACATGAAAAATAAAAAAAAAGGCCGACCCAGTTCAAGATCCACTCCATGAGTGTCTGAGGAAGGGAAATTTGAGTCAAGCCTCACCCCTGCTTTGCAAGGGGCCGAGTCGAACCCCTGACCTGGAACACCACGGTAAGCAAGTTTACCGCTGAGCCAGGCCGGCCCTTCAGTTACATGAAAAATAAAAAAAAATAAAATAAAAAATTCTGGGAATGGTGAGGGGCGCTTGGAAATTGCGCTTGTCTCTCTATATATATATATATATATATATATATATATATATATATATATATATATATACTTTCTTTTTATATTGTTATATACTTTCTTTTATTAACGATGGGGTGGAAATATTTTTTAAGGATAAAAGTCTAGTGTCTATATGAAATTATGTACTATGTAATTCGGTTTTGCATATGATCTTTTGGATTATTACTAAAAACAGAGATGAATATTCAAATGAAAATAATTAGAAAATTATGACTGTATATCGGATGTTAGTTTGAAAATATTAACCATAAAATAATTGGATAAGACTGACTTCTTTGCTCTATATTATTGGAAAATAAATGAGAAACAAATATAAAGTTGACAGAAACAAAAAATTTATGCTTCTCCTTTTATATAATTGTAATTATACACTTACGTTAATAAGTTATATATTTGTGTTGGAATGAAAAATTTTCATTTGTTTGTTTTATTTTCTTATTTATTATTATTATTTTATCAATCGATATTTGTAGATGTCTAAATTTCTAAGGATCCGATTAATATGATTTTGGGTTTGAACCTCTTCACAATCTCGAAAATAGAACCCATGCACTACCATTTGGGAAAATTTAATCTTGGTCTAGCAAAGTATCCATTAAACCAACGACTCTGAAGTATATTCTTATATACCGTGATTGTATATAATCATATATCAATTAATCCTTAAACTATGCTAATCTCTTTAAATTCGCTTAACAATTTTATGGTACATGATATATAATGTAACATACGCTGTAAAGGTTTTAAAAAAACTCATTATAAAACGAAATAGTGACCAATGTACTACGTTTTTGGTATTTATATACAAAATTGTCATGCAAACAGTAAAATTAATCAGACTTTCACGCGTTGAAGTTCGCTACGACCGATAACGAACTTGATAGTCAATGATTTTTTGACACGTGACACACCTTCGCAGGAAAAGCTGAGTGTCACGTGTCCAAGTTCGCTATTACTAGTAATGAAATTAGTATCCAATGATTTCGTGACACTGTCATATTTTCCCAGAAAAAGTTGATAGGAAGGGTACCGAACTTAGTGCGCTACGTGGTCCAATCTCGTTGCCCGATCAGAATTAATGTACCAATCACAATCAAAAAAAGAAAATGAAGGAAAATGACTATTTTTTTTAATGTACTAATCACAATTAATCTATCAATCATCAATAACAATTAATGTATCAATCACCAATCATAATTAATTTTGATCACAATTAATTTTGATTGATACATTAATTACTATTGATGATTGGTACATTAATTATTTGTGATACCATTGTTACAAATTCAAATGATGTTTGTGAGAGATAAAATAGGTCAAATGAAATGTCATTGCGTAGATCTCGAAAAGTTATGTGAAATCAAATAAAAAAATCTGATTTTCCGAATCAAAAGTTATGGCCCTCCGAAGTAATTGGTAAATTAATTGTGATTGATACAATCAAAAGTTAATCCTATTGGTATACTAATTGTGATTGGTGATTGATACATTAATTTTGGTTGATACATTAATTAAGTTGATACAGTTGTATCGAAAGAAGGAGAAGAAGAGAGCTAGAAGGAAATTGGAAAAGGAAAACTTCAAGTATTATTATCAATGCCTCTTCATTTACATTCAATGTCTATTTATATGAATGGTTTTACACAAATCACAATTCTGTTACACGTATCTGTACAACAATCAACCGTCCCTCCTACGTGTCAACTTATAACTAATCCACCGCTTAACTAGCTTCCCCGGTTTCCTTGTGATTTACAAGCGTAATCTTTCATCCAGATTGGAGTCTCCTTCCTTCTAACTGGTCTACTGGATTTGTTGGTGTCTGCAATTGGGCTTCCCATGATTGGGCTTGCGTCTTTATTCGCTGGGCCTGTAACAACTACACCCTCCCTTAGAGAGACCTTGTCCTCAAGGTCTAAGTCTGGGTAGGCAGCCTTTAAATCTTTAGCTGATTCCCAGGTGGCATCTTCAGGTACGGTATCAGCCCATTGGACTAAGTGCTGCAACTGAGATTTTCCCTGTACATCAACCGATCGTGAAGCCAAAATGGCAAGGGGTTGTTGAACTGGTTTGTTGCCAAGACTATGTGGTGGAAGTGGAGTGAAATACACACCTGGTGTTCCACGAAATGGCTTCAAACAAGAGATATGGAAGGTAGGGTGGATTTTGGATGTGGCTGGCAAATCGAGTTGATAAGCAACAGGGCTGATCACCTTTTTAATACTGAATGGACCATAAAATCGTTTGGCTAATTTCTGGTGTGAACGGCGAACAACAGAAAGCTGACGATAAGGCTGCAGTTTGACTAAGACTTGATCACCCTCAGCAAGGAGTAAATCACGACGGTGCCTATCAGCTTGATTTTTCATCCGGTTTTGAGCCCGCAACAGATTGTCTTTAAGATGGGATATGATGTCATTCCTTTGGCATAAGAGTGTGTCTAAGGCTTCAACCTTGACTAGTCCTCGAGGGTAAAAAGGAATAGAGGTAGGTACCCTCCTATAAACCGCTTGGAATGGGGACATTCCGATTGAAGAATGAACTGAAGAGTTATAATGAAGTTCAGCCCAACAGAGGAAAGAAGACCAGCTGTGATGTTGTTCTGCACAAAAAGCCCGTAAGTATTGTTCCAAGTAGCGATTGGTCACCTCCGATTGTCCATCCGTCTGTGGATGATAACTAGAACTGTGCTTGAGTTTGGTGCCACTCAGGGAAAACAACTTCTGCCAAAATGAGCTCATGAATATTGGGTCCCTATCAGATACCAAGGAACGAGGGAACCCATGAAGCTTGACAATGTTTTCACAAAATGCCTTAGCTACAATTGCTGCTGTAAAGGAATGGCCCAAGCCAATGAAATGAGCATATTTTGATAACCTATCCACAACAACTAAAACAACAGAAAGACCATGAGATGGAGGCAAGCCAGTGATGAAGTCTAAAGAAAGGTCTTCAAATATGGCTTCGGGTATAGGTAATGGATGGAGTAATCCCAAGGGTGATGCAGTACTTGTCTTTATTTGTTGACAAATGATGCATTGTTGCACAAATTTTGTAACATCCTTCCTCATATGCTGCCAATGGAAAGAAGCAGATAAGCGAAGGAAAGTTCGTAGGGAACCAGCATGCCCCCCCAAAGGAGTGGAATGAGCTTCCTCAATCAATTCAGCCTTCAATTTGGATTTGGATCCAACAAAAAATCGTCCTTTATGATACAGAATGCCATCTTTTGTAGAGAAGGAGGGATCAACCAAAACACCACTAGCCAACTGTTGGTGTAAGCTAATTAACTCTGGATCTGTCAGATTCTCAGATTTAATACTATCGAGAACTCCAAATTGTGGCTCCGAATACAAAGGCAACAAAGAACCAACATCAGTAGGCTCAAACTGCCTTGACAATGCATCAGCAACTATATTGGACGAACCAGGTTTATACTCAATAGAAAAGGAATAACCAAGGAGTTTATGCACATACCTATGTTGTTCTGGTGTTTGTATGGTTTGGGACAACAACTCCCTAATACTTTGATGATCTGTCCGTACCAGAAAATGAGCTCCAAGCAAATAGTGCCGCCATTTTTTGACTGCCTCAGTGATGGCATATAATTCTCGAACATATGTAGAAGCTTTGGACAATCGGAGGCCTAACTTCTTGCTAAAAAAAGATATAGGCTTGTTATGCTGAAGGAGCACAGCTCCAATGCCTACACAAGAAGCATCGGTCTCAACAATGAATGGAGAAGAAAAATCTGGTAAGGCTAAAACAGGAGTGGAGCTCATAGCCAATTTCAATTTGCAAAAAGCCTCATTTGCTGCAGGGGTCCAATTCACTTTATCCGATTTCAAGATATCAGTAAGTGGAGATGCAATGACAGCATAGTGATTGACAAACTTTCTATAATAGCCAGTTAACCCAAGGAAAGCCCGAAGTTGTTTAATAGAATTGGGTTGTGGCCAGTCAACCATTGCAGCTACCTTCTTGGGGTCTGCCTTAACACCATCAACACAAACAATATGCCCCAAATATGAAATCTCAACCACTCC